CCGCCCCGAAAACATAATCCACAATGCGGTGTGCGCGTGTCGCACGCCGTTGTGTAATTAGGGTGATATTTTCATAAAAGCTGTCGGAGTAAGGTGGACCGCAAATACCATTACCGTCTGTGTTATTAGTCGACCGAATTCTCCCCTTAAATATCACGGTACATTGTGCACCGGTGTTGTGTGACCGTAATGCGAAACGTCATAGGACTTTCCGAATGCAAAGCTCCACGGATAAAATAGTGTATCTTTCCCTCGATTCGGTCTCGATTGAATTGATTCGTAGCTGAGGGTGCGATGACCAATATTTTTGTCAGTCAGTAAACAAATATAAAGGAGTGTGTCGAAGTTAATACAAATTATTAGGTTTTGTATAATACATACAATTTCTCTAGGTGTTTCTCTTTTCAAGTAATTTAAACCGTACGATTAATCGTTGAACTATTTCATTATCGAGTATATTGCTATATTAAACCTACATATCTGTGCTTGAAAGATGCATTTAAAGATTCAGGAAAAGTACATTCACCTTAACCCCCTTACTCTATGATTTCTTTCTGAACTGTGATCGATCTACATACTTTGTTACTAAGAATTGATTGAAAATAAAAGGAAATTCCAGTATTATTCTATGTCAACGTGTGTTGTAAGGTATAATCATTGATAACAGAAGAATAATAAATTACATGGCAGTTCAGCTCAATAAATCTTTTAATGTAAAAATGAAACCTCTAATTCCTTATTTAAAAGTTAAACCAAAAGCTGACAATTTCTGTGTCATTACAACTTGGACACAAATACTCTGCCTACCATGAAAGATATACCCCATGCTGCTCTTCAATCATCAACACCTTCCGCACAGAATCATCGAACCTTTACCACCTAAATACCACATAACCACTGTTAGGTCTGTCGAACGGTCAAACAATATTTCCTCAAATACATCCGCGAGGATAAACGAATCGGCGGCGAACGGGCTCCGGTCTCCGTCCGTGAGACACCAAGAGAAGATCGACGCTCTTTCGCGCGCTATTCCCACTCAGAGCAAACAATCCTCCGGCACCTCGACAAACAAAAAGACCGCCGCGGGTACTTAACCGAGGCTCTCCGTCTTCCATCGTTATTTGAACGTACCCAGCCAACTCTGCGATGGTAATTCCGAAACGGAGACGAGCGATGCACGAGACCGCAAGAAACCGAGATCCGGCGCACGCATAACGGAAAAAAATCGATCCGACTGCGGAACGCGTTCCGTTCAATCTTGAATCGGGTTTTGAGCTTCTTCCGTGGCCGGTTCCTGGCTTCATCCGGTCAACTTTTTTCGGCATACTACGTTTCACTTTAAATTCGCCTTTAACCTCTAACCCGTTCTTTCGTCTTTCCCGATACAACGTTTTTATTGCTTTTAGCACCGTTACGATTTAGGATGATTATTTTTTGAAAAAGAATTTAAATAGAAATAAATAGGAAATTTTCAGAAAATTTGAGATAAAAAAATCGTTACTATTAATGCACGTGTTTCTATTTCTCTAATGATATTTCGAGAAGTAGGTGAATCGAGGAGTAATTATGTTTCGAAAATTGTTCAAACAAGAGAAACGAATTTCTTTTTAGAAAACTTCACTAAGTTTGATGCTAAGTATTAACATTAACACCTTAAAGAAATCAATAAATTTTGTTAGTCTAACTACATCACATAAATTTTTAAATATCAATCCAAAATACAATTCTCTTCTTTTAATATAGTTACTTATCTAATGATCCACTTTCCAAATAATTCAAATAATTCACAGGAGAAACTCACTTATCAAAAATAATATAATTCTTTCCGGTCTCCCTAATGGACAAAGCTGAAAACGCGCCGGTCGTACACTACCGGGTTGTTAGGGGTTAATACCGCTGCGGAAGAGCCGGATCGGCCTTCTCATTACACGGGGACAGGGCACGCGGAACCGTGGCGAATGCAAATGTCGCGCGTATCGCCGGCCGGCCGGCTCGCGTGCTCGCCGAGGGATCAACGATCGCAATCACCGATGTCACGGCCGGACTTATTGGCCGTGATACGTCTAATAGATCGATACCCACCACCCATTATTACGTCTTCCCTCCCCTGCTGTTGCCCGGCCGACCCGTCCTACAAATAACACGCCGCGCGGTTTTCTAATGAGGTAGCTGGGGCTGCGCGTGACCGGATCTCCGCGCGCTTCGATTTCACGCCGGGACCATCGGGGACGCGTCTCGCCGACGAGACGTCCGCCGCGGGATCACCGTGTTTCCGCCACCACCTTGGAACGATTGTCGCTTCGTTTCGCAACATCGCGGACCAACGCGACTCGCGGACTGCTTGTCGCCATTTGTCGTGCGAAATTTATGCGTTTTACGCGTTTCCGGTATGAATGCCTATGGAGTACGTCTGAGAAGAACATTATCTTATTTGGAATATTAACTCAGTTGCATCTTCGTTCTAAATGTGAAGTTTATTTTATAAATCAGAGATGCTCAACTGAAAGTCTTTCAAGCTTTTGACTGAAATTAATCTGCTCAGAACGATATAACCGAGTATCGGCAACTAAAATTAATTGCGTGTGGAATATTCGAATTCTGGTGATAAGCAACAGTTATTGCGTGCGGATTAGTCCGCCGAATGGTGCAAATGGGCAAACGCGCAACTGGTACACTCTGATTTTAAATGACGCTCTGCTTCAGCTTTTGGTGTAATATTGAGCTGGCAGAAAGTTCAGTAGAATTTTTGTAAAGGAACGTTTTTCCGAAGACTTCAGTTTATAGGTACAAGTGTTTTTTAAATAAATATTTCAATACTTTCCCAATGAAATTTTCTGTTCAATGTAATGGAAATTGAAAGAATATTAGTAATTGCTCCAAATTATGGCTCTATCATGAAGACACTGATGCGAATACTAGGTTGCAAAGAGACTACCGAATGTCACCAATATGTGCATATTTCAATCAAAAGATGACACTATTTAACATAATAAACGATAGTGTAACGTCGGTTGAACAAAACTGCGCTCGATCTAGCGATGCTGAGAATTGAGTAATCGATTGGATTAATTACTTACCACGTGGATGCCCTCAGTATCCCTCCTAAGGTCACCGCTCCTCTGGCCAGCCGTGACGGCGGCGCTCAGGTGATTGTAATGATGTTGATGTAATGTGTTCAACGTTTGCGTGTAAGGATCGCCGACGAGGTAATCGAGATGTTGTGGCTGGCCGAGGCTTGGGTGTTGAGGACTCGCCGGCGCGTGGTGGTGCGACGGGAACGGGGGCGGGAAGTACGGGGGTTGGAAGTCCGAGGCGGTGGGCAACGAGGCACCGCCGTGATGGGGCATCCCGCTGCCGTTTCCGTTGCCTCTGTGACCATGATGATGGGCGCCGGAATACGGCGATGAGTTTCCACCGCCCAACGAGGATATACCCCCATGGCCAGTTAAACGGTCCTGTGAACAAACGTACACGTATTAAACTTTTGACCTTATACTTTCGCAGTGATTCATATTACCGAACCAGTTTTAACGAATTCATGGAAACTATTGTATCAGAATGAGTTGATGCTTATATTGAAAATGTTTCAGCATCATTTAATAATTAGACGTTCATTCTGCTGACGTTCGTTCTGCTGACTTTCGAAATTTCTATTTAAATTCCGGATGTTCAAATATTCAAGATATTCAATATATTATCCTCCTTCGACCACTTCTTCCGCAACCTTTTCCTATTTCTAGCTACACTCGACATTTAGCCTGTCTTAATTGCGTGATTCAACCTGTATGTTTTCGGGAAGAAAGATTTTAACGTGATAGCTATGAATCTTCATGGTCACACGTTCGAAATGAATATTTGAGTCGTCGAATGGAACGCGTGGCGAGAGGTAAGTTGATTCAATTTTACAGCCAGCGTTCGTCTAATTCATTTACCGTTTCCTCGGTACCTTGGCACCGCGGCTGGATAATCCGTAATCAATTTTCACCTGAACCCTATTCGCGACCGTATTCACTCGACGGCCCTCATGCGTCGATGGAACGCGCTCCGAAATGTAAGAAAAAAGGAGGAGGGAGTATATGATGGCGGTAATAAATGTGCGGATTCATCGATACGCATGCGCGTCCAGCGGAACTTTCGCCGGTATTAAAAAAAATCACTGACCGGCGTAATTGCAGTGACTAATGCACAGGCGTGCACCGGCGTGCACCAGCGCGGCGGAGGAAAAAAATCGTGTCAGCGGCGCCGGAGGTCCGCCATTACTATAAACGACGAGTATATGGAACACAGTGCCGCTTACGCGCCCCGAAGGTGGCGAACATAAACGCGAATAAATGCTATGCAAATCTTATGGCGAATAGTACACCGCGAATAGCTTACGGGCAGAATGTAGGAGTGCCCCGCGATCTTTGTCAAGGGAAACTGTATTAGATGTTAACCGCGACTCTGAGAAATCGAAAATTGCGGTGAAATATGAGTCGCTCAGAAGTCAATGTTTGTCCAGTTTTTGATATTTTTTTGTTTTTGTCAATTTTAAGGGAATAAATAATATTCTTTTTAGCTATTAAAGGATTTATTGGTTTCTTCGTTTTGTCTAATAATAGTTCTAATAGTCCTATTTAAAAAAGTGGGCCATCTCTCCCCGATTTACAGTATCGGACGAGGAAGTTCGAAATTCCTTGGAAAAATGAAGTCAACACTATTCGAGAATTTAATCCAAGAAAAATTACGTCGGTTGGTGGAACGAACTGGTAAAACGGTATTATGTTCTCCAGTTCAGAAAAAATAATATTAAATTATATATAATTAAAGAATTCCACGGTAACAAGACAGAAGACGTTTCTTTCTAACCGTTTTATATAAATGTATTTTCAATAGAAGAAATATATTTTTGAAATATACGTAGGTTACGTCAAAATGATGTACTCGAAAGGAAAAGAATATTAATTGCTAGTTATCAACGTTAATCAACATTTACCGTTTCGTGTTATTCGCGAGAATAAAAGTACACGCGTACATATAAAATGGTTATTACGCATCCGACTTTACGTTTGAGCACAACAAAAAATATAAAATTCAAATGTTCATTGCGTATAACTGTTAACGCAGTTCGACGTGTGCTGTGCTACGTAAAAGTATAAATTACCGTGGACATCTGTGGCGTATTCATAACCACACTGTTTAATTGAAGTGATCTAAAAAGGACGTGTAGGACTATGATAATTCTAGCGGTAGGTCCACTCGCTCCTGGCTTTTTCACAACGACGAATGGTACCGAAGTTTTTCAGCGATAATGCGTTCCTGAACGCGGTCCACTTCAGAACTCCGACATCACATCACTCAAATCAAGGTATAATTACAGTCGGCTATCTAACGGTGCAATTAACCGGCACAAAAAATAGAACTAATTATTCCATTTAGGTACTCACGAAGAATAAATTCTATATCCTGCTTTTTCAAGGCAAACGTTACCTCCAATCTCTTTTTTAGGCCTCGCCACTCGATGCTTCTACCTTAATAACGCCCACGGAAAAAGGAATAGGTATATCTTCCTTGAAATTAGTGTACCCCGAAACCGTGAGGTAATATCGAACTCAGGATGTTAGATGAACACGAGCTTCCGGCGTGTATCTTGTAAAAAGAAGAAAATTAGACCGTTCAAACGTTGCAACGAAGTAGAATCCGCAAACGGTGCAGATATTTTCTTTTAGCAGGTAACCAGAATTTTTATTGAAAACCAACAGAAGGGGATTATTATCGTTTCCACGCGACTATCGGATCCCAATTGTTTCAAGTATTGCGTTACGCATTGTTCTTTGTCTCGTATCGAAAAAAAACGTCTCGTTCACTGTTGCCCAACCGCGCGGTAAAGTTCAGATGAGAATCTCTGCATAAAATGCTGATTATATCGCAGCCTATGCGAGTCGTTGATTGTATGAAATATCGGTCACGAATCGCAAGATCATCAAAGCAAATTGCTTGGTTGTGATTAAGCATATTCTTCCGTCTGAAAATTATGGTGAATCGTGCGCAGAAATTGGGCTTTGGTTAAAATATTACAAACCAAGAGGCAATAGGAGAAAAGGTATCCGCGAAGACAAATAGTTAACAATTTCGAAAGCGAGATAATCACTTTGAAGTAATTGATATTTCTAACAAGAATGATCTCTGCAGTTCGATTGAAATTATTTCATTCGTTACCCCATTATGAGATGAATTGTAGTGTATCGTATACGTTAATTACAATATTATCGATGATTTGTAAGATGTGTATGCTTCGACAATTGCTAGGCTCGAGTCTCGCAAGAATGTGTATCATCGATCGAGTTTCATAGTTTTTCACGGAACAACAAAAACACTTTGCGTGGGCGAGGGCGCGTGCGCGCGCGCGTGTGTGTGTGTGTGTGTGTGGTATCAATCGAGCAGATAGTATCGGCAGTGATTTATTTGAATAACGGCGAAAGGCTTTGTATCGACACGATGCCGGCGTGAGCCATTAGGTCTTTGCTCTCGTGATACGATCTCGAACATCTCTATACACCATAAAAGGGCCAACGTGCACTTTTTCTCCGTCGTTCGTACAACTTTCTACGCGTGAATGTCATGTGTCGGCCAGGAGTGATTTAAATTTAAGTTATACCGATGAACGAAGGACAATCGCGACAAAACAGCTGCGACCACCGATTTCTTAGCTGAGAAATTCTTTTATGACCACATAATTTAATTAATTAAGTATTTCCCGAGAAATTAACTGTATATTATAATAAAACATATTTCATTTAATATTTTGTTTCAAATACTAATACTCGATTTTAGATAAAAATGATCATCGCATATTTTCAATAATACATGATTACCTATAAGATTAAAAAATTCTCTTTTGATTGCAGTTTCTGTCGAAGTATATTAATAAAAATCTATATTCGAATAACCATCATCTACCTTACGAGAATGCTTTCAAATATTGATACAACTGTTAAAATATAAGGCACCGATATCACGCGTACGACAATTAAAATATCTCATTACTCGTTTCGTTAACGAGGTAAACCCATCAATCCCCCTCAGTTTGGCGGGTACATCGAATTAAAATTTCGGAAGTGAAATGCACGGCGATTGATCAGGTCGTAACCGGGCGGGAAGAAGAATTCGACGACCGAAACGCTGTCGGGCCGTAGCGATAGTTAAACGACGTCAGACCCAAAATTGAATGGGATGGCCCGTTATAGAAGGGAACTCTCACTTGGCCAAACACGTGACCGCCTAATCTGCCCGTAACCGGTGAGTAACGAGAGGCAAAATTCACCGCGCTTTCCAAATCGCTTTCCAAACGATCGTTTCGAAATTGTGTATCGTCGACAGGCATTGCAACCAACCGACCGCACTTCCGTACGGGATATTTGTCGCTTAACGGCGGCCGCGTCGTTACGTTCGGGGAGAAAGAAGTACCGTTCCCTTCGACGCCACGAGAAGAGACATTAAGGCATCTTCAATTTGCGGCAATATTCGTTATTCGATCATTACACGGGCCCGACTTTCACGTGGTTTCGGGCTCGTCGCCGATGAAACGCGGTTCAAATTCGTATTCCATGTAAGACTGACTTCGTCGGCGATATTTGGTTGTTTATTTACTTCGATGGTATTTTTGCATACATTTGTAGGCTTATACATTCTATAAGAGCAGATAAATAAGTTTGTGTATTTTAAAATAAAGCAGTTATACACTTATAAAGATTTCAAATATATTTCAATGAATGTAATTGTGTAATTTCTTTTTAGTGGAATCATACTTGATTGTTATACATTCGTAATTGCCAAGCATCTTTTTCATTGATTTGATGTATTTTTAGTATGGTATAGGGAATCGTTAATATCGAAGGGATGAGAACAGCCCTCAAGGGGCTTAAAGAATCTGTTTCACCGAATATCTCATTGAATGTTAAAAGAAAAATTGAAAAAATGAAGTAATAATTGAATGATTTGTGTGCTTTTAAATTGTAAATTTTATTGTGTAAACGAATTTTCGAATAGATAAATCGCTTGAAATATATGTTGGAAGTTAACGATGTTGTTTTATGATTATTATTATTTAATTTCAATTCCGCGTTTCTTGTTCGAAGATAAGAAACATCATTCGGAAGTTCATCGTGTGTAATCTTGGCAACGCACGGTCTTAAGATTGATGGAAGCGAAGAAAGTAATTGAAAGAGTCAGCAACGTCGCGGAGTTTAAAAAGAAGGCCAGTGATCTTTTAATAGCCAGCCTGATCAAAACGATCTGTCGCTACACACGCATAAAATTTCGAGCGGGCAGCAACCTGCAAATGGCCGGTCCATTTCACAAGACGCATAGCCGAACTTTCCAGTTGAGATCGCTATTGATAACGTGGGAGAAATCGTCCCTCTTACCACACATGACAAGTAGACAATTAATAACCAATAAGCCGGCCCCGTGTCGC